AAAGGTATGATCCCAAAGAAACCAGACTGTCTCCAATAGCTGGCAGTGGTCATCCCATTCCACTTTGGCATGCCCTTGGCAGTGGGAGCCTGGGTTGGAGAGCCAGCTGTGCCTATTGTTTCCACCTCAGCATCTTCCTGCCCAGACCTAGCAGCCCCGAGGTCCTAATGAGTATGCTACTGGCTTGTTGGTATGAAACATGGTGGCTTTGTAGGGGCAATCAGGCAAATGTGACTACCCATATGGTAGGTATTTTGTGTCTGGAAAGCTCTGCCCAGCCAGTACAGCTGTGGCCAGAGTCTGGTTATAAATTTGAACTCCTTCAGCCCATTTGCAACTCTGCCTCTGTTCTCTTGCATTCTGTTTGGTTGCCCTTTAGTTTCCTAGTAAATGTTCCTTTTGAAAAACTCAAACCTTGTCTCATTGAACTTGCGGGAAGGGGATTCTTCAGTATCTTTTTCAGGGTAGAGAAGGACACTAAATACCTTGGGGAAAAGTGAAAATAGTAGTAGAAAGAGAAAAAACTAATCATGTCTCAGGGAGGGACCTTGGGAAGGATTGGTTCCAGGAGAAAGGAAGAAACCAGTTGTCCTCTCACCTTCCTGGCACTAAGTCCCAGCCCCTTCCTCATTGCCATCATCTTCAAGGAGAATTACCCTGGATGTGTTTTGTTGCCAGAGCCCCTTCCTGGCCGGTGAATTGTGCACATTGAGCATGTACCAGAAAGTATACTGGTACATGGCAGGAGCAGGGAGGGGAAAAGAGTGGTTTCTACAATGTAGATGCTTTCAAACTTCCCTAAAAGTTATGACTCCAGGGATTTAGTCCTCATTGTCATCAATAAACCTATATTTCATATGAAAAGAAGGAAAGGAGACTGACAGAAGAGAGATATGGAAAATTGTTTGGTATTTTCATGATTATCCTGTCCTGTGATAGGGGATGTTCTAATCACATAACAAAGCACTATAAAACATAGTGATTTAAGTAGAAATGCATTCTTTCTCAAGTTGATGTGGGTTATCTGGGCTGACCTTCGTGGAAGAAGTGAAATGATAAAACTGAGGGAAGAAAATAATCAGGAATGTTGTCCCAACAGTGAGAAAAAAATGTCCCACTAGGGAAAACCTGTGGGACAACGCCAAGGAAAACCGGAAAAGATAATGTTTCTAACATTCTGGGAGCTTCAAAAGGTGAACCTAGGTCCTCATCTCTAAGCCCAGGACAGATATGAGGCAAAAAAAAAGTGCTGAGAAGTGCCAGGACCTCCTCAGGCATCCCTGATGGCAGATGTAAATCTCCCTTCACTTAATGTCCCATGAAAGCAGATCAGGCCTCTCCCAGGGACTGGCAGAAACCCACTTCCTTCTCCCATTCAAAGTGCTTAACTGTCACTTGCTGCCCAGGCTCCCTGAGCATATGGGCTACGAAATTCAACTAGCTATATGATCACCTCTGCACTTCCCTCCCTGGTGTCTTCCCACTTGGGTACAGAGTTCTGAGCCTGGAAAGGATTAAGAGCCAAGATTAAAGATGATCCCCCAAAGCCTCAGAAAATTGGGGCCCAACCCTGCAGTCCAGTCATCTTGACTAAGCTTTAGTGGCATCAGAGTCTCAAGCTCACCCACAGGCCAGCACCAAACTTTAATATGACAATGACTTTCATGTCACCTCCTCTTAGTAGGAAAGAGAAGAATAGGTCAAAGGGACCTGGGTCACGGATGCTGTCTTCAAGGCTCTGTCATTGATACCACACCCCCCAAACTACATCATAAAACAGACATCTCCGAAAGATGAATGAGCATTGCCAGACAATGAAGAAATGTATTTATCAATATGAAAATTTATTTATCAATATGAAATTTATTGATCAGAATTGACATTACATCTTCCAGGTTACAATATTTGATATTGCTTTTATCCATTTGCTTTATTTTTTGAAAATTCAACTTTGATTCTAAACAGTAAATGTAGTTTTTAAAAAGTTAATTTATTTCTTTTTGGCTCAATGCTGAATGTATTGTAGTTATTGTTTCAATGACCATTCATTGCATTAAAGTTATTTCCAAGTCAGCATTTTACATAGGAATATTTATGGTTTTCCCATCAAGCAAACATTGTCTCCAAGATGCTGGCTTTCATTGTACATAAAATTCCTTTTTTATGATGTCCAAAGTCTTAATTTTGAATTTACCCGATTTGAATTTATCAAAGTAAGACAATTTCTCCAATTTGCCAGACTCAAAGCTTTCAGAGAATATTAAAACCATTTCTTCAAACACCTGAAGACACTTGTCAGGACTTCAGAAATGAGCTTGCAAATAGGCCTTCCAGAAACAAATTTTTATCTTTTGTTTTTAAAAGTAATGATTTTGAAAATATTTATTTTCTCTTCAAGGAAATCTATAACTAAGTTTAAAATTTTATGTTTTTTTTGTGAAATAAAACTTTCAAACAATCCTGTTTTAAAAGCACACAAGAAAGTGCAAAAAGATAAGAGCTCAGAAAAGAAAGGCATTGCCACAAATTGCACATTTGTAAAAGAGAAACAAACACACTGACCCTGTATGTCACATCCACAGCTCAGCATGGACCTCTGCTCAGGGTTCACTGGACCTGCTGGCTCTAGCAAGGCTCCTGGGCCGTTTTAGCTAAGCACAAAATCTGCGCTATGGCTCGACACGATGGTCCATGTTTTCTAATTTTGTTTTCAGGATAGAAAGAGCGACTATAAAATCTTTTATAGAGAATAAGACCCAGGCATCATTGTGCCAAGCCTGCCAGAGAAAAGGTGGTGTCTGGGCAGCACAGGAAAATGTAAGAAGAGCAGGAAAATGCTATCTTCCGAATTAGAACTCCAGGAGTTAAAAGTATTCCAACCAAATTAAATATTTTCTAAAATACATATTGGCTTTACCTTGTTCTCCACAAAATTAGGTGTCATGTTATCTTTTTTTAAAAAAAATTATTTTTTCAGTTGTAGTTGTACACAATACCTTTATTTTGTTTATTTTTATGTGGTGCCGAGGATCAAACCCAGGGCCTTGCACATGCTAGGCAAGTGCTCCACCGCTGAGCCACAACCCCAGCCCAGTGTCATGTTATCTTAAAGAGCATTTCTGGTTTTGAAAGAATCCTATTTGCTTCCCTAAAATTAACAAGAAAACTTTTGTGGTGGGGTGGGTACTTGGGGATTCAACTCAGAGGTGCTTTACCACTGAGCTACATCTCCCTCAGCCTTTTTTATTTTGACATTAGATGCTGCCTTGGCTCCCAGAGTCACTGGGATCATTGGCATGTGCCACCATGCCTGGCACAAAAAATCATTTAAGTTTTGACTTCCAGAGTTTTCCACATTTGAAATCCATGTTGAAGAGCCAATGACATTCATGTGTGAGATGCAGCTGGTCCTGGGGGGTTAGCAAGAGGAGGCTGCCTACCTGACATGCTGTGGTAGATCCTGGCCCTCACTAGTGCTGTGAACACCTGCTGGGCCCTTCACAGTGACTACTGGACACGGGAGACAGTGCTTGCTATAGCAGTCCAATTAGCAGCTTAGACAAACACTCAAGGGCTCTCAGGTCAAGATAATACAATTTGACAGCAACTACCAAGGGTTTTGCTGTCTCCTGACTTGAAAAGGTGTTCTTGTTCCCCACAGAAAGAAAGAGAGAGTAAGAAAGAAAAGAAAGTGTATCCATGTCATCAAACAGGAGAGAACAAGGACAACCACCACCATGTGGAAAAGGGGAAAGCAGTGAGGGGGAAACATCATGTAAAGCCCAAATATAGACTCCTTGATTTTTCTGTTTTAAAGTACTTAAGTTTTAGGAAAAATAAGTGTGGATTTCAAAATATATGAACAGTGGATTTCAAAGGAAATCTAAAGATTATGTTTGTAAATTTAAAGAGTTCCATAAAACTAGAAAAGTTGAGCAAATCATTCAAATGCTCCTGATTATCTGGTAGATCAAATATTGATATTTGGCTGATTGGTGGCATTATGTCAATTTTTCCAGCCCATGCCAAAGCAGCTGTCAGCAGTTTCCTTCATAAAGGACTGCTTGATCCCGAGTGTAAAGTTTTGTTGAAAATCACTGCGCCTTAGGAAGAGAAGAGCAGCTTAGGAAACCACAGCCTTCATGTTCTGTGATGCTCCCAGGAATGGGGCAGGTCCTTGTTGAGGAAGGCATTTCCATAAATGAGGAAAGATTCCTCCTCCACTGACCTTCAGTTCATGACCTTCTTTGACTTAGGGAGACAAGGTAAAAATACTAGTCTGGGAGAGGAAGATTTTAAGCTTAAAACTGTAATTACACAGTTAAGGACTGGGGAGGGAGACGAAACTTCCACCACTTCCTTGAAACTATGCTGGTGAATCATCTCACTGTTTGGGGTCCTAACCAGAAAATATTTGCCCTATTCTGATGGACAGAAGTAGTGGTAGAGACCAGCTGGTAATCAGAAGATGCAAAAGGAACTCAAACCAGTTACCTTCAAACTGAGCACAGGTGGGAGACAGCCCTGCCCCGTGGAGTCCTAAGAACCTACTTACCACCCTGTAAGCTCCAGGCCTCCCTTTCCTGTACTCCTTGCCATCAGGTCCCACCCAGACCCTTGTCAGCCCCTAGTGTAGCCAGGCCAGGGACATGTGAGAAAATGAAAAGCACCACACCTGTGACTGTATTTGGCCCCCACTCTTCTGGTCTTTAGAAAACGTTAGCAATCCCCCAAATGGTTCAAACAAAAAAAGCATGGACATAAGAAACCCTTACTGAGAACTTTCTGCCTTGATCCAACCCCTCTCTGGTTTCCTATCATGGCACTTGGCATCCTCATGCCACTCTACACATACACATGCACCAGTAAAATTACTGGGCAGGACCAGCTCAGAAAAGGCTGGTGCAGAACTTGATGTCATTTTCAGGCCAAGGAAAATTATTGCAGAGAGCATGGCCCCATCAGAACTGGAAGATTTGTCCTTGTGTATCTCTTTGTAGCAAGTAGCTCTCTGGGTCTTATGGAAATTGCTGCCGGGGGAATGCCAGAAACAAGGTGAGTTCTCCATGAATGTACCCGGCCACCTAGGACAGATAGACTGGTCTTCTCAGGAGCCTCCTGTCTCCTTAGATGCCTGTGACATGCAGTCACAGAAGCTCTCACCCATCATTTTATGCAAAATTCCATATAACACTCATTTTCATAAACCAGTCTAGAAAAAGTATCCTAGAGGTGACACCACCTTTGCAGAGCCATAATATGTGGGTTACAAAAAGATGTCAGAGACTACAGTGTAAATGCATAGGGCTTGTCAGAGCTGTCAATTCTGTTGATAAGCTGTGGTTAACATGTAGTGTTTGCACGTGACTCCTAGCCTGAGGAGTGCTGAGCAAAGACCAAGATGCCACACCTGTGTGGGCAGAGTCATAGACAGAGGGTAGCCCAGAGCTCTGCTCCTGCCTCTGATGCCAAGCCCTTCCTGTGGGGTTCCCTTTCTTCTCACGTGAGGCAGGGTTTGTTCAGTGTATCCTGTGCCCTTCTGTCTCTGGTGTTTTTGTACCTCTGAGTCTAGGGAACTGCTTATGCCCGTTACTGGGAAAGCCACATTGCTGGGCTGTGATGGTGCAGTGCTCGACACCTACTGCCCAGAAACTCAAGTTTAGGCTACCTCGGGAGGAAGGATTTTGATTTCCATAGACTATCATCTGTCTTTCCATGCCCTCCATTGTTTTTCAGTTTCCTCTTCAATAGATTTTCTTTTTTCACAAATGATCTGAAAGGAATTTGACTTTGAGAGTGTCCAGAAAATCTCTTTAATAACCAGTGATGTCTAGTGCAGATCATAAAACCAGGACTGGAATTCCTTAAGCAGAGGAAATTCCATTTTGAATTAAATACCGAAACAGGTGCTCTCAGTACCCACAAAAGGTTAACCCCAGTCCTACAAGGAAGCTGGAAGGAGGAAAGGGTAGAGCCACAGGAAGCTCCCTGGAAGGGGAAATTCTGACAAAGAAGGATGTATTAGATGAGAACAAGGAGAAAGACAGTCTGTGTGGATAGTTCAGGGCCAGGAAGGAGGCAGGACACTGAGCACCTCTTTTCCTGGCCTACTTTTTTTTTTTTTTATTGGTACCAGGGATTGAACTCAGGCATTCGGGCACTCGACCACTGAGCCACATCCCCAGTCCTATTTTGTATTTTATTTAGAGACACAGTCTCACTGAGTTGCTTAGCACCCTGCTTTTGCTGAAGCTGGCTTTAAACTCTCGATCCTCCTGTCTTAGCCTCCTGAGCTGCTGCGATTACAGGTGTGGGCCACCGTGCCCAGCTCCTGGCCTACTTCTTTAAGGGGCAGCCTGTCATCCCTTGCCTAGGGCTGTCATAGAAAACTGTGTCCTATGAGCCCATGGACTTGTCTGTGCAGCTCATGCTGCTCAGCTCTGTGCTCACTTTTGTCAAGACAGAGGTATTTGGGTGTCAAAATCAAGTACCTTCTACTCCAAACTGCACAGCTCACACAAACCAGCACTGCCTACCCACTCAGCAGCCCCTGCAGCACTGGATCAAGTTGTGAATTTCTTGCACCTGCTGCTCTCCTGTCTGCAAAGACAGTCATTCTCATTCCTCAGCCTGTTTTGAAAATAAAAACCACACAAGTCATTCTTCCAATTGATCAGGAATGGTGGTCAGATTGATTAGGGGAGGAGGAAAGAGAAAGGAGAAGGTTTGTGGGTACCTATTTTAAATGGAATATATTCTCATTCAAATCTAAAAAGGAAAAGGAACACAATTGGCCATAGTCCGATGCCTGCCTGAAAAGCCTCTGCCCTCTAGTGGCCAAAGGCTCCAAACAAAAAGTTTGCACAAAAGTTGACCCAATGTTTAGGTTTGGGACACTGAACTAAGAGTGGTCTTAGTTCAGTGTCCCAACTCTCTGGGGATCGTAGGTAACCATCAGCTTTAAGTCCTGGGGATCTCTCCCCAATGGGATAGATGTTCACAAAACTTCAGAGATGTCACCTGCGAACCTGGGCAGGAGAGACTCAGGATAAGTCCTGTGCTGGGCAGACACAGAGCCTGGATAAGACCCAGCATTTCCACACATACTGACCAGCCCTGGGCCTGAGGCTCCAGCATCGTCTTCTGGCCATCATCTCCAACATCATCTCCAGCTGCAGCCACACCTTCCACACCTCCAGGAGTCACTAACGCACATCTCCCATCAGTGGCTTTCACTACTCAGTCCCTTACTCTGTCGTCTGTACACCCCCAGTCTAGAGGCTATCCAAGCTGCACAATAGTAGGCAGAATTTCAAAAGCTCTTGGCAGAGATGTGGTTGCCTGATGCTAAGAAAACAGAGACTCAATATAAGCCACCTGAGCCTACCCAACCACAACTGATGTGTCCAGCATTTGACCAGAATCTATTAGGACCAGGTGCTTCACTTCCAGAAAGAATCCATTTATAGGAAATTGCACAGGTGGTTTTCAAAAGCCGAACCAGAGCAACCACAATGAGAGGTTTGAGCAGAGGGAGGCCATGCCCACCAATGAGGGCTGTGGGCCACCGTGCAGACCAGGCTCTCCACTTCAGGTAGGGAACAGCACCTGTGCCAGCCACTTGAGAGGGTTCTGGAGAGAAGACATTTCCAGTAAAACATGGGGCAGTCATAAATGAATGTCAAAAACTGAGATTGTGCTCTGAGTAGACTCCAGCCAAGTGAGGGAAGAGGAAGGACAACATGAGGTAACTGGGGGTGAAGGGGGCCTCTTGGAGGCGTCTCACTCATGTCAAATCATGACATTCTTGATCAATGGAAAGACTGGTGCTGAGTGTTTGTGTTCCCCCAGATTCTTATGTTGAAGCCCTGGCCCCCCAGGTGATGGCATTCAGAGGTGGGAACTTCTGGAGGTAGTGAGCATAAGACGAGGTCATGGGGATGAGGCTGCCATAATGGGATTAGAGTCTTTATGAGAAGAGGAAGAGACTAGGGGGCTCCCTCTCTCTCCCCACCATGTGAGAACACAGCAAGAGGATGGCTATCTATGAACCAAGAAGCAACCCTTGCTAGACACTGAATCCAATATCTGGATCATGAATGTTACAGCCTCCAAAACTGTGAAAAAAAAAATTTATCAGTTGTTTAAGTTACCCAGTCTTTGGTATTTTGTTATAGTGATCTAAGTTAATTAAGAAAATTGGTGACTTACAGCAAAGGATACATGGAGACAGAAAGGTAATTAAAGGCCTAGTTTGTAATGACTAGAGATATCACAATCAATTACATAAGAAAGTTTCGATTAGCTATATGGAGGTGTTCTCTCCTGATTCCATACCAGTTTTAAAATGATTCTAGAATATCTCCTTAAAAAATACCAACTTGTTTCAATAACCTGTTACCATACCAGTTTTAAATGATTCTCGAAATATCTCCTTAAAAAATACCAACTTGTTTCAATAACCTGTTACCAACAAATTCTTACCAAAACTTCTCAGTCAGAAACTCTTAAATTCCTCCGACAATATATTTGTTCCTTTTTAGTCCATACTGAAACTGAATTTAGTCCCTATGAAATCCCATAGACCACACCCTTCCCTCCACTTTCACCTCCTTCTCTTCCACATAATCCAAAGAACTGAAAAGAAAAAGAATAGTAAATTAATAGGAAAATCAATACATTTTGGCAAATGTCATTGTGCTTAAGAAGGATAGCTCTTTTAAACTCCTCACTATTCTCATTCAAGTACAAAAAAAAAAAATTAAAAAAACTCCTCACAAGTGGATTCTGTTCTATTGCTTGCTTCCCTTCCCTGCCCCTCAGTTCTACTAATTGTAAGTTCTTGGGGGGCAGAGCTATGTCCTCTTACTTTCATAGCACATTGGCTCAAGACTCAATGAAGGGCTGGGTATTTAGCTCAGTTAGTAGAGTGCTTGTCTTGCATGCACTAAGGCCCTAGGTTCAATCCCCAGCACCACACACACACACAAAAAAAAAAAAAAAAAAAAAAAAAACCTCAATGAAGATGTAACCTAGACACTTCTATAAGTCATCCTTGCTTTTTTTGTTGTTGTTTGTTTTATTTTTCTACCACTACAACCAGTCTTCTAAGGTCTCTAGTTCTGGTTTTCCTTTGTATTTAAAGGACTAACCCTGAGAATTTTTAACAGTTTGTTTGGTACTTCAGGCTGTCCTTCTTTAATCAGTACCCCCTCCCTCCTGCAAGTGCCTGAATTTGGGAACTTTGATTGTTCTTGCAAAGTCCTCCGCACACAGCTACTGCAAAGACTGGTGGGTGCAGGCTGATATTTGTCTGTCTCTCTGGGGTGGCAGAAAGGTAGAAGGCAAGGTGGTTTCTTACTGAAAATGTGGAAGGCCCTCTGGAATTTCTTGGATGTTAAAATATGCTCAGTATTTGGAGAAGAATAATTCTTTACAGAGTAGGAAGGAACTAGACTACCCTCAGACCCTGAAAAGGCCTCCCCAAACCTTTGTCAAAATTCTCTTCTTTCCTTGGGAGGACTGTGTGGTGGAGCCTGGTGAAGGGTGAAGAAACCTTGGGGCAGCACGAAGAGATTGAAGGGAGCAGGATGAGATTTCTGAGAGAGTAGAGTTGAGCATTCACCCTGGGTGTGTGCCAGAGGTCTCCACTAGGGTCACAGGCCCACAAACCTGGAGGACAGAGGGCAGGGCCATGGTCAAGAGTGCTGAATACATTAGAAAAACCAGCTCAGGTCCTGTTGCAGGGAAGGGCCAGGACAAGTTATTGAAATAGATCATGATTCCGGGTGATGGGGACACAGAGAAGCTAGTAAGTAAAATAGGAGGCAGCCTCAAATAATTTCTGAAGCTTAAGACTAAACCTAATTCCAAACAGGACTATTTCACTTGTTATGAGGGAACCAATGTGAGAATTAGCTTGCTTTTTTAAAAGAGAGTTTGATGGAGACAGAGAGGGGAAGGGACAGAGAAAATATAAGAAGCAAATACACAAGTTGGGAGTTCCTAGCTGTGCTTGCCTAGTAAGTACTAAGGAAAAGATCTCTTTATACCTTAATAATCTCTGAAAGATCCCTGTACCTGATACAGTAGATGAATTATAAAGATCTTCTTATGTCATTAAGAAAATAATAAATGGCTTTTAAAAAACAAATAAGTTTGAGGGCTGGGGTTGTGGTTCAGTGGTAGAGCACTTGCCTAGCACACGGGAGGTACTGGTTACGATTTTCAGCACAACATAAAAAATAAATAAATAAAATAAAGGTATTGTGTCCATCTACAACTAAAAATATGTTTTCTTTAAAAGTAAATAAGTTTGAAATATGCTTGTAAAGATTTCCATTAAAATATTTAAGTTTAAAAATATTTTGGGGGGCTGTGGTTGTGGCTAGCACATGTGACTAGCACATGTGAGGCCCTGAGTTTGATCCTCAGCACCACATAAAAATAAAATAAATATTTTTTTTTTTAAAAAATACTATATCTTAAAAAAAAAAAACTTTTTTTTTTTTTGGCTTTTTCCAAAGTGGGGATTGGCAGCGGGGAAGCCTTGTGTTTTTTTGAAAATTTATTTATGAGGGCTGTCTTATTCTCCAGTAATTGTAGAGAAATTAGGTATCAAATCCACAGTACTGCATTGCCCATGAGTCTGACATGTCCAGGA